CAGATCACAGATGAACGACTACCACTACATAGAATTTGATCCATAGTACATATACAGTGCCGTTGTAAAATATTAATAACCTGGACTATATTGCTAATATCATAAACAACAACTGGTATTGCATGATTTTTTACAAAATATAATAAATTTACCAAAAAATAATCTTAAGTGTGTATCCAAATACTACCAATAGTAAGGTAGTAACTAGTAGTAAGTTCAGCCGTGCAAGCATCTTCCCCGATGACCCCCGCCCCTGTTCTTTTATTACCGTAAAGAGTTATCTTATCACCGTTAAGAGGAAAAATTCCTAATCTTCGATTTTATTTTAGAGGGGTATATTCACTTGTTAAAAATAAAATATTGTTTGAGTAACTACACGATAAATTCAAGAATAGACATTAATCAGAAACATAAAACAATAAAGTTTCCTCGATAGATAAAAATCACGAAATGACCTCTAATTTTCACATTTTTTCGATTTATCCTCGAAATGTTATTAGGACAAAAATTAGATAATTAATTATATTTATGCATGATCGACAACTGTCAGTACGGATTTGTTTTTAATCCCTTTAGTATTAGAGTTATTCCGCTAAAACGAATTTGGTACTTTTAATGCGCAAAATTCAACATCTCCTGTCGCATGTCACGCGAACTTCAGGCATATATTTGTTTCACAAATTTGGGCGGAGCCAACATCAAAACTTTTTTTGGCATTAGAGCTCTTAATACGGATGCATTTAAATATTTTTATTTTTGTACGAATGTAAAATCTGATGAAGATGAATTATTAAAAGTCATGGAACAAAAGTTTTTATTTTTGATGTTAGTAACATAGTCCTGCTACTGGCCTACCGCGTAACTGAGTCGGTTCCTGAGGTATCTACACGGTGCGGTAGGAGTGACAGTTTTTTTCTGACAGTCAGAGTTTTATAAAAATATTAATTAACAAGTTAATTCAAAAAAGTGGCTTGTTTATTCATTTCAATTATGAGTGTAACAGTTTTTTTTATTATTGTTTCACATAACAGACCTCTGTCACTTGACTTCATCCGGTTCTTCGAGAGGCTAGCTGCCTCGGGTGAGCTGCCCCAGATGCACGTGCAATACCCTCCATATTTTCCAGATAGGTACCGGAGCTGTAGGCACGCTCACTTCCCGTTGCGAATTGCACAACTAGCGGTTGCCACCGCTGAGCCGCCGAATCTAAGTCGACTACCAAATCTCCTCATTGGTGGCGGAGCTGTAAGGCTCTCTTCCCGACGACGAAAAACGACGTCTCTCCAGTTCCCAATAACCTAAGCGGCTTTAGGGACCGGAGGATATCTAACTTATCCTCTACTAACTCTCCGGGCTAGAGCCGGAGATGCCAGTCGCAGTGTCCTGTGACAATATCCGGGCATAGCTTCCAACACAAAGGGCAACTCACGTATCCCGCGCGGCTCCTCGCTTCAGGCCTTCAACTAGACGCGCTAGCTGCGCACGAAATAGACGCCCCGGCCACACTCAACCGGGACAGACAAACATACCCGTTTCTGCAGCTAACCACAAACCCCACAACCCCATATCCAAGTCCGGGTCCACCAGAGACGCCCGTGGACGGTGCCGGTGGACGGTATATCACTGGCGGAGGATTTGGCCCGAACGCCCGCTGTATCCTGGTCTTGCCATCGAGCCCGTAGTCTCTCCGGAAAACCCTATCTCTCGGGTCGGTAGACAGGGACTCTCTCGGGTGGGTAGATAGGTTACATAATGACAGCTGAGTAATTTGGTAGGCACATTTTTCAATCAACTTGCTATTGAAGCTCGTAAGAAAAATCTTGTTCTAATTATCCCGTGTGCAGCGCACCATAACTGTTACGTAAACTGTCATGTCTCCCGAACCGACTCAGTTAACTGGTAGGCCTGTAGTTTGTTAGTATTTTACAACTAACCCTGTATACGTACTAAAGTCATAAATGCCATTGGCAACTTTAAAAAACTTGTATTTAATTTATCGACTTATAGGAAGCATAATTGTAAAGTCGGCAATTATTTAAGTGACAAGAAAATTGAATAATAGTTCACTATGACAAAATAATAATATGCATGAGATTATTAAAAATTGATATTAAAATTAATACGCAGATCTCACCGCAAACGAAGCTGAGCAAAATTTGCCTAGCTCACGTAGCCGGGGCATCTTTTCATACTTCGGTTCACACCGCGAATTAAGCTAACCGAGCTAACTAAACTAACCCAACGATCCCGCTAGCTATGTAAAACATGTCCGCCCTTCACGCCCGTGCGTATCCATAGTCACTACTTACTACCATAGATATCCTATATCTATGCTTACTACTAACTTAGGGCTCGTGCAGCGTGCCGGCGACATTTCGCGACTGCGGTCGCACCGACTCGCTGCGACTTGTTTTATATGTAGAACTAAATGACTTAGTGAAGCGTGCTCGCGACCGGCGACTATTAGATGATCCGTTAATGTTCCTATTATTATAAGATTATTACGTAAGTAATGAAATTATAATAATGAACCCAGATAGGTTAATTGATGGAGTTGGTAATCGCCGCAGAATATTGATTAGATTAATGTTAACTCTCTTTCTTCGTATCCTTCCTATGACACGGACCCGTAAAACGGAATTTTCCAACAAAAAAAGTTCTGACACTATATCCATTTTCTCTGTAGGTAGGTACGATAATTATTCGAAAATTCACTAAGCTATTGGTCAGTCGCCGATAATGTTACGTCGCCAGTCGCCCGCATGCTGCACTGTATTTCGTCGTTAGAAGTCGTTGCGAGTCGACGCGACCGCAGTCGCGACATATCGCCGGCACGCTGCACGAGCCCTTGGCTTTGCATGCAACTACGTGAGCTATGTTAGATAGCTTCGATCGCAGTGTGGCTTGCGTTTAAAATTTGACATTTTTATAATCAAAACTAGTACTTACATACTTAACCGTTAAATTAATTTCATTACATAAATTGTATAAATAAAATTAGCAGTATACGTAATGACACAATAATGTTATTTAAGACCAGAGGCCTTACTCTTATTACAGTTCAATATAGGTTTGTAAAGACAAAAAAGCGGGATGGTGATATACACTTCATGTAGCGCTGTCTCACAACGACTTAAAAACTAAACTAAATCGTAGTAAGAGTTCATGGCAAGGCTTTGATTTGAAGCGTGATGTCGTCAGCAAAAAAATTAAGTAGTACACCATACAGATATACCAAAATTCACCTGAGCTATAATGAATGCATCTTTCTCATTAAGCAATGCAATGTAGTTAGTCAAATAGTCCATGTAATGTTTTGGTGTTACGTAGTTTTGACGGCGAAGACGTAACAAGAACTCGACGGTGTAACGCGAAACGGACATGTGGACGTGGACAACGTGTTCCACGATTATTGGACGGAAATCGTCCGGAATTTTATCCACCTGGAATGTAAAGGTGTTATCAGAAATCAAGTGTCATGTTATTCCATTATTGTTAAGGACAGAAGGATGTCTAGTGGCTACTATACTCCGTCGAACCATATATTTAACTTTTGACATATGCATGCCTCCGAAGTTCCGTAATTATTAACATACAACCATAGACAATAAAATGCAGCACTTCCTGGACTCTTTTATTTTTTAATTTTAGTGATGCGAGGTGCGAGGTGTAGCTCCGATATTTATCGAGTCAATAGGTTATGTAGCAAAGATTATTCAAGTTGATAAATTTTGTACCTGTCTAATAAATTATAATGATTTATAACAAATTCTTATTGTTTATTATAACGAATAGTCGTTTTCTTCTCCATATGAACGGGAATCATCACTCGAATCCTCATTAACATTAATTATTAATTCTTGAGTACCTACACAAATTGTCAAACGCAACATCACCATCCCAATCAGACAATATCTTCTTCTTTGAACCCGCTCATATTCACAATTTAAACCTCTTCATAAATAAAATTATATGTTATAAAAAGTCAAATCGGAAACGCATTAGAACATCACTCATTGATTAGAATTCGAGCTGTCAAAAGTTAAATAAATGGTTGGACCATTGACTTACAATTATATGGACGTCGGGTCCGCGCTAAAAAGTGTCCGCACTTTTAAGGCGCTAAAATCGTATACAGAGCGCGACACTCCGCTTTAGTCTTCATTTGTTCTACTGACAGCGCGATACTGCGATGACATTACAATTTAAATTTCGAATAGGTTGACTTGGGACATTTTTTTCGTGGTTTTTGTATTAGACCCGTCGTCCATTTATTTGTAAGTCAATGGGTTGGACGGAGTAACTTTACTTTCCTATCCGACCTTTTTTTTAAGTAAATGGACTTGCGAGCAGCTGGTGATTGCTGTCGATGAATATTCTGTCGACTATATTAGAACTTATCTGCTGAATATTGGTCACGCTTATGGAATCATCCTCGTCCCATTATTATTAATCTAATTACTGAGCACAAGTTCATTTGAATTATCAATTTTTGTTATGTTCATACATACACGTTACTATATGTAGAACTATGTTTATGAACAGAGAGGAGACATATTTTAAAGTTCATAACTTTAATTCAATGTATATAATCAAATCCGGTTATTCTTATTAAAATGTATATGAATAAAAAGTTATCTCGATACCAAAAAGTCAACTGTCAAAATAAGAATAAAGAAGGCAATAACGCAGTTAGTAATCATTAGAACGTCGTCACGTTCACAATTCAGTTCAATCTATCGATAGAACTATCGACAACAACTACCTAACTATTTACAATTTTATGAAACTGCCAACCCTACAAATGTAAATTTACTGCGTCTTCAAAAAAGACAGACTTTACCTAGCCTTGGAGAAAAGATAGAATCTACGATGAAAAGAGCTCGCCCAGAAGATGCCTATTCAGTCGGTAAAAAGACACTCTGGTTGTATGTGCTCGGAAACACAGTTGCAGACAGGGAATTCTACTCCTGGACTGTGCGCATAATAAAAGATGACGAAAAGGTACTCCTGAAGAGAATATCTACCAAAATAGGGATGATATCCCGGCGTTCATGATGGTAAAACGGGGCGGGCGGGATGAGCTTAAAGGACTGTACTCGAACTAGCGTGGCTACCGCTCTTATCACCTAAGCTACGGATTGAGCCAACCGACGAATTCCTATACTGCCCTCCTGATCATAACTAACGTAATGGACATTTTACCGATATTAAGTTATTATCATGTCTGGCATCAGCAAAACGAGATCTACAACCCCCTCGAATCGTTTTTTTTAAAACCTTATATAGTTTCAGTAAAGGAGCAGTAGCTTAAAAAATGAAAAAAAAATACAAAAAAAAGTCGAATTAAGAACCTCTTCCTGTTTTTGAAGTCGGTTAAAAATAGAAACGAGCCGTCAATAGAACTTTTAGTTTCATACTCACGTTGGCCAAAAACACGTTAGCTACAGCCAACAGCGCCTGCTTCGGCCAAGGGAACTGCCAGTCTATGGTGGTATTATTCACGAGACCCGGGAAACTGCGACACCTAAACATTAAAATGTACATTGAGGCTATATCGACTGGTGTTCATAGGTTCGTAAATTCGTAAACCTGAAATATTTATTAGTATAGTTGCAGAAATATTATTAGCACTCATTGACCTTAGCACCGAAGAATTACCTTATCTCTTATAATTATATTATCTGTTGGAACGGCTTATATTTTCTATTACAATAGGGTAATAAAATCATTATCACTTCTTTTACTCAAAGCGTACAATATGGAATTAAATTGGAGGTAGTTAAATAAAAAGGATCCAATGCACATGCAGTCACAGTCGAGATATGGCAGTTCAAAGTTTAAAAGTGTTTTTCACTGTTGTTTTATTTTCAAAACTTACAATGTCATGTAATACCAGAGATAAAATGACGTCATAATAAATCGAGTTATTTTTATCACACCTGTTTCGCAAGATGTCGCCACTGGGTGACATCGAAAGCACTATATGTAGATTATCAGCGCTTGTGGAACAAAAGTACTGCCAGACGGAATCCCTGGAATAGATTAAGTATAATTAATAAGTCATTTCTAATAGGAATTTGTTTCAGAGTAATTGCCTCGTGGCACTAAGTAATAGGTACAGGGTCAAGAGCACGTGAAGTTTGATACTTATAAGATTTAAATCTAACTCTATGCCGATTGCTTTAACTACATCCGTGGCCGAACGGTTGCCATGTTGGACTGCCACGCAGAGGTCCTGGTTTCGATTCCCTGGCCGGGAGAAGTATTTGTATGGCCTACATTTGTTTCTTTCGTGAGTTTTGATGTAATTTGTGGTTGTCCAATGGCACCCTCGACACAGGATTTCCCTTGTGCGGGGCTATGAGTACACACTCGCGCTATTATTATTATTGCGATAAGAACGATCCAAAGTACAAAGTGTCAATCTTCGACGTATTCTAGACTGTATGAGATTTTAAAACCTAGTTATGTAATAACTGCACACCAACATTTTTCTACGAGTAAATAAAATAATTGAACACAACTAATATGTAATGTACATTTTGTTAACAATTCATAACAACGAACTGTAACAAAAGCTAAACAAACGCTAAATACAAAAAACCAAAGAGACAGAATAGAATTGGCCAAGTACCGCTTATACATTAACCTATCATTTTTTTAATAAAGGTTTATGGCGGAGTTGCAAGACCTTTAGCGCAATTTAACCAATTAGGAGGCAGTAGAACATTTGAGTAGTGTCACATTTTAATTAGCATAAACAGGACGTTCTTTTTTTAAATACTCATTATACTTCTGAGTACAGAGCATAGATTTAGTATATAGGTAACCATAGATTGGCAATGCAAGTGAAAAAGCGTTAGTGTACACGGTATGTTAGAGCGAGATGGGTAGACGAGACCACTTCATAATACGCTATGAACCTGTATGAACCTAGGGTCAGCTGACAACGAAACAAATTTCGTTTATTTTTGAAAAATAATTGGTTTTAAAATGTGAAATAGTGTTAAACGGACGTATATTAGTCATGGTAACGTGTTCATTGCCCGGATGTAACTCATCTAAAAAGGAAAACTCGCAGAATTGTACATTTCACATGTAAGTACTATTTAAATTTTTAGCTGTCTAAAAGCACTACCACAAAAGATTTTTACATAAAAATATCGTTAAAATTATACCATTCAAGTGCATTAATAACCCAAATGTATACGAATTCAATAAAAAAATATATCAAATACGTGAATTTCTGAAATTCATAACCCCACTTTCATAGAGATTAACGCAATCGATAATATGTTATCGAGATGTCATTAAATGAAAAAAAGAAAGGCAAAGGCGTGGCTCGCATACAGCCGAAATCATCTTCATACTTAATCTTATTGAATCAGAAATTTCTGGTTTTAGTACTTTATATTTAATTAATATTGCATTAGTGCATTATTTTTTGTCTACATTAAAACGAAAATTTATTTTAATAGCGTAGTTGAGGCACCCATTTTTTTATGTTAATTATTGTTGTTGATTCAGATTTCCTCAAAACATTGAAGTAAGACAGAAATGGCTTATAATGCTAAAGAGAGAAGACTGGTTTCCCAAAAAGTTTTCAAAAATATGCAGCAAACACTGACGAAAAATACTGTTCCTTTAGAGGCAAGCAAAGAGTAAAGCTACGTTCTGGTTCTGTACCCATATTATTCATATGTCATGTCATATTATTCATATGTCTATTCATATGTCATATTATGTATGTCTTACAATTAATGGATTTTTGTTTAGTACTACTCTCGTCAACAATAAATCAGCGATTTGTTGTTGTTAGAGTTCTGTTCTGTTCCGAAATACGATACTCATATAGGATCACTTGTGTGTTCACGTGTCCGTCTGTCACAGCCAATTTACTCGAAACCTACTGGACTGATTATTTTGAAATTTGGTACAAATATGCATTCGTGTTTTGTAACAAAAATGAATTAATTCTGAATTTGAAGTCACTATTGGGAGGGAAAGTTCTCAAGCATATATTTTTTGTAATTTGTATTGAGTCATTAATTAATTAGTTAATTAACGCCTCGGCGTTTTGCGAAAAGACATTTTGGTGAATATGACGAAGTGAAATAGCGGTGTAATATGTTAATCGATATTAATGTTAAATCAGTGGATGGCGCAACACTATTTATCTTGCACACATGCACATTATACGCACACAGATGTATCTTTGTTTTGATCTCATCTCCAATACTTCTACAGGGCCAATCTACGGATATACTAAATCTATGGTACAGAGCTATAATAATTGTTTTTAGATTAGTAGCCACAGACAATAGAATTTTTATATTTACAGATTAAAGTACTGGAGTAGAAAAAAATTGTATTGTACAGAGTGTTAGCATAAAGAATAAGTAAGTAAGGTAACTCCATACAAACGTAGCGCGCCGCGCGCCGTTTACGCACGCACACATTCGCATAATCTCGCTTACTTTTTACTTGCGTTGCAAACCGCAGGTCTTCTCAGGCGCCATTCAATATAGAATTGGAAGCGTTCGCTCAGTGTTTAAAAAATAACAGCAAATAGTAGACGTATAAACAAGAACGTTTTGACAAGAACACGTCAAGTTTGAACAAGAGTGCCTCAAAATTAAAATCGTCTTTCTTCTCGGTAAGTTACATATTTTTTATTTGTTTATTTGACAACTTTGGTTGCCCAGCGGCTAGCACTATGGGCATTAGATGAGGGGCTCCAGAAACGAACTTTTCTAAATGAAATCCAGCCAGAACGGCAATGATGCTATATGACGAAAATTTACGAACAATCAGTGTATCAGAACAGTGTGTATCTCTAGGACACTTGATGGGTTAAACGAATGAAGCACGTCAGCTTTTTCAGAAACTCCGCACACTACGTTGAGAGTACATAATCAGTGAGGTAACACAAATATTTTGTTAAAATCATAATATCAAATTATGTTCACAACCTGTAGGTACAACTAAATATATATTAATAGTGTGACAACCCTACGCTACTCCGAGCAGGCTGTAGGCATTGATGCGCCGAACAAGCGGGAGTTGCCCTATTTGGTCTTATTATACTATGGTATCAGTGTATGGCGTGCAGTAAAAATTATAAATACGACAAGTAATTCATTACTTCGGCGCATCAATGCCTGCACGTCTAACGTTGTTCCTACATCCACTAAATAAGAATTATTCATTAAACGTACTTTCCAACACCAAATCCCGCTTCTCCTGAAGCATTGCGACAAGAATTAATGATGGCGTCTTTCTCGTCGTCTCCGAATAGAGCAGGAATAATTCCAATCATCAAGATGTTGTTTATAAGCTCCAGAAAACCTTCTTCTACAATCTACATAAAAAAAGAACATCAAGTAGCTTTGTTACAATTGAATCGGTACTTAATTTATTATACATAAACTACGTTAGCCCAAACCTCACTCAATGTTTCTCACTGGATTCTAGAACAGTCTGGTCAATAAAAATGAGATATCTGTTAAATATTCAGTATTAACAACTATGACTCGAATCAGGATTTGGATTCATCGAGTCAAGACCGCCGACATATCGTAATCGTCATTCTTACTTAAACAGCCGTGTTTTATTGCAAATTATATTTTAAATTATAACGGACAAGAATACTTTGACATTTTCCGCCAAAATTACGTCAAATAAAAATTATAGCAAAAGCTAAGTTTATTGTTAACTCAACTGTTTTTTTATATTTTAGTGTAACGGATAGAATCAATATTTAAAAAAATCATAACCTAAGCGACCCAACCAGTTATCGTAACCGACTTGTACATCACTATTACGTCGTTTACTATAAACGAAGCGGCAAAAAATGTATTGCAAGGTCGCATATTTTTAATCACAAGTGTTACTTTAAATGCGTGATAGCCTTAAAAATCTTTAGATAGAGACAGCAAATATATTGTAAATGACAAAAAAGGTTCAACATCCACTGTTTAAACAAATGTTAGTTGTTACACAATCGGTTACGAAGTTCATTATTTTATATTAAAATACAATTTAGTATCACATTTATACATTGTTTTTTGTCGCTGAAAATGATGGTAATGATTCGATACAATGTGAATATAGAAATAGTTTTGATTAAATTTATTTACAACGGTTCCTTATTCATAAATTTGTGAATCACCTACGTCACTTACTTTACCAACCAAATGTTCACTTTGCAATTCAATACAAAAGAGTTCGTCTAAGTAAAAGTTTTAGTAACTTACTTGAGCAGCAGTGAAAAGGAAGACACTTTTCTTGCGATCGACCCCGAGTTGATTGTAGAGTCGTTTCATATCGTCTTTGAACGAGTTCTCGTTGTAGTTACGGGTTATAGTAATTTCAAACATTTCGCAACCTGCTCGAGAATATAAGGTCACATAAGGGCAGGTATTACTGGACTAAAACATGACTCTACACCCTCCATTCATAATTTTTTGATCTTTTATGAACCCACGACGATAGATACCAACTGCTTCAACTTAAAGGTTGAAAGCAAGAAACACGATGTAAGACGCAAAAATCATTCTTACGCAACATAATATAGGTAGTAGACTGGACTCGCGAGAGCAGAAAAGCTGTTTCCTTTGTCCATGGATAGGACAAATTTGCCCTATTACGACCAACCATAGTAGTACAGTCGAAGTACTTTAAGAAGAAGATGAATCCACCGAACCGGAATTAAAAGCCGGAGATGACCTAGTCCGTCTGTACTCCATAATACTTTAAAAGTCGTATGACTTCTATCCGTTACATAAGGCTAAAGAATATCTATTCAAGAATCTCACCGGCAGCAAAAGCGGCAAGACGACAAATGCTCTTCTTGCCGGAGCCGCCGACGCCAATGATCATAGCGTTGCCGCGGTCCATGCGTAGGATTCGCTGAGTGCGCGTCAGATGCTCAAGACAGTCCTCGAAAAGTACTACTGACATCTTGCCGACGCGCTCATTGTATTCATCTAGAATCTGTACGTGATGAATATGAGATAGCAATTGCAATCGTCAATGTGACGATTCGCCTCATCTGTTATTTATCGTACAGAAGGGTGAGGCGTTGAAACGCCAATCCCAAAACCGACATGAGAATTTGTAAATATAAAAGTATCCAAAAATAAATGTATCATGTAACTCACCTCTTGGAAAAGAAAATAAACAGCTTCGTAATCAAGAAGATCTTCATAGTATCGAATTTCTTCCTCGTCTAAAGCATTGCGGTAGTCCCCGAACAAAAGTGGATCTCGGAATACGTATTCTTCCAACTAAACAATAAAAACATGTACGGTGATGACTCGTGCTATGTTTTAAGAAAAAGCTATTATTATTAAAAAAAAACTTAAACTACAATTATAATTATTAACACACAGATCCGGCCGGATTCGAACCGACGTCTTCTAGCAAACCGTGACAGACGCTATGCCAACTAAACCACGGAATGAACCAGCGGACTTCACGAATTTTTCTATGTGCTTGTTGTCGTATCTTTGTATTTGGTTTTCTAACGACTTTTTATCTATACTAGCGCCATCTATGAGAAATCTATGAAAGTATTTCGTCACCCAGTTAAATACCTTTACAGTTACTAGCCCCGACTAGAGATGTTGCTATTCATTGTATTTATTTTTTTCTAAATAAATCTAAACTACACTCCAGTAATGAACACCAAAAATCAATTAATTAATTAACCAGTAATTGACACTCAGCAATAATGAACACCCAGTAACTGACACCAATAACAAACGTGTTACTAAATCATATTAGAAATTAATTGAAAAAAGATGTCGAACAGTGGTGCTTGTCGGTGACTGGCGCCACCCACCTAATATACTTAATTTACTTGGAAACCTGTTAAGAATGTAAAATTCCTTACCGTAAGTTCCTTTTCCACTTCTTCCTCTTCAATTTCTTCTTCTTCAATTACAGCCTCTTCAGTTACCTTTTCTTCTTTCTTTTTCGGCTTTTCAGTTTCTGCAAATTACATAAAAAAATTAAAGGTCGTGTGTTCTATGTGAAGTTGTCACATAGAACATACGACCTTTAATTTCGACTGAACTTTTACATGAAGCTACCTAAAAATAAATAATATGATGTTGGAAAAAATCACATTTGTATATTTTTTTATAATACCAAGTGACCCTGAGACATAAGTTGACAAGAGCTATTTGCCTGTAATTTCACCAGCACCCTTCCAAACCGGAACGCAGTAATGCTCACATTACTACTTCGCGGCTGAAGTAGGTAAGGTGGCAGTACTTCTGCACTTCACAAGAGCTCTATTGATACTAAATATATAATAGACATGTTGGCATTCGTTTTAATATTTAGTTTTAATTTCATGTCTTCCTGGATAATGACTGCTTTAACCTACATCTAAACAAAAGCGATTTCGCAACCTCTTGCGGTATTTTAATGAGCTAGTTTCTCCTTTTATCAACATTTACTGCGTCATTATTTCAGAGTCCGAAGCTCGTGGGTTTTACAGTTACAGTTTATTTGTATACTGTAACTACAGGCCTACCGCTTAACTGAGTGGGTCCCTGAGGGGGCTGCGCGTTTCAAGAGGAGTGACAATATACGTAACCTTATGTCGCGCTGCACACGGGATAATTTCAACAAAATTTTTTTGATATAGCAAGTTCATTGAAAAAAGTGCCTACCAAATTAGTCAATTGTCGTTATGTGAAACGATAATAAAAAAAAACAATTTCATTGACAATTGAAATGAATAGACAAGCCATTTGGCACTTTTTCAATCAACTTGTTATTGAATATCGTTATAAAAATCTTGTTGAAATTATCCTGTGTGCAGCGCGATATAAATGTTACGTAAACTGTCACTCCTCCCCACCGCGCAGCTACCTCAAGAACCGACTCAGTTAAGCGGTAGGCCTGTAGAAATACTGGGGCAAATAAAAGCTTACCTTCGTCCAAATCATCTTCGCCTGCATCGCCGCCCTCAACTACTTCTTCAGGAACAACGATTTCTTCAATCACCGCTGGCTCCTCCTCAGGGAAGTACTGAATTACCAGTTGATGAATATGTTCTTTCATCAAATCATTGTCCTGAAATGAACTACGCCTTTTAAACGAGCATTCAATTCAGATGCAAATAAGAGTTATTTGTGAAAGAGTTCCTGCCGTCAAACAGTAACGTGGGCATTGTTGAATTCCGATTTTGAAGATTAAAAGTACTAGTGAAACTTCAGGTGTCAACTTTATGGTCACGCGCACAGTGGTAATGTCCCTAAAATCTTTGCGAGTAAAGCTCTGAGTGGTAATGCAATTGTTATTTACCCGTATTACAGTTAAGAACTAATGCACCGTGAAAACTGATTGCTTTTAGTAATAATGAAAATACTAAAAATAAGATTAAAAATAAAATACATTATAATAATACACTCGATTCGCCAGCACCCATCATTTCACGGAATCTGAAGCATTCACAATGCACAACCGCCCATCACCACGCCAAGAGTTCGTCGAGCATTGTGAGAGCACGGAGCAGCGGCGAGTTCCTATGCGATACTGTGCGCACCGAAGAACTATTTTATGGACGTCTGGGACAAATAACCCTACAAGTTTCCCCACAAGTTCAGGACAGCCTCATATCTTTCTACATAAGTTTTATTTGTAGTGAATCTCCTTATCAACCTCTTGGTTATCCGGGAAGGACACTATAACCTGTGTAAGCAAGCTCGCACAGGGACCTACTGAGTAAGGTCCTGACCCCAGATCAGCCCGTTTGCACGGACTTCATCCAGTTCTCAGAAGGCTAGTGACTTAGGTGAGTCGCCTCGTGTGCATATACAGTTAGTACCCCCTCTCTATTTTCCAGATAGGTACCGGAGCTGTAGGCACGCTCACTTCCTGTCGTCGAAACACGCCGTCTCTCCACAAATTCAGAACAATCCGATTCTCCGCGGAAAACCTGGCTAACAGACTAGCAAGTTGTTATTCCCCCTCATGTCAAGAGAATTATATTGAAGAGTCCCCAGTAACTACTTCGTCGGATATAGGTAGGTAGTTATGGACAGGCGTGTCGCTTACCATTAAATGCACGACATGTTCGTCCCGCGTTACTTGATTACTGATACTCGAATATATCGAAAATCGAGTCAAGGAGATGGGAGTGTATTGTAACCAATATTAAACAAAACAGTCCGGCATAATATTTAAGGGAAAATTACGATGTCAAAGGTAGTAAGTATAATTAAGGGTTCAAAATGACTGTTACGAGAGGCAGAAGCAAAAGAAAAGTATGTCATAAACCCTAAGATGTATGACCCTACCGTGTTTGATTTCGCGGCTCAAGAGTTATTTTTGAGGTCACAAAAAAAAGGAAACATAGTGTAAAATAGTATTGATTTATTATTATGACCGAAATCTGTTTTGGTATTAGTATTATAGCGATTTGCTCTGTCATAGTTATATATTATGTATAATAGTTAGTCACTCTACTTGTGATATATTACTGATATAAATGTGCGTGTTGAGAATTTCATTAGTTTTAATTTTGGTTTAATTTTTTGCACGTGTTTTTTTTTATAATAGCAAATGACGGGACAAACAAGTCGTGCGCCTGATGATAAGCTACACGCCTGTTCATAGCAGTTGTAGTGCCACTCAAGAGCTGTAAATCGCAGAGATCTGAGAGGTACTGTAGCCTACGGGGTAGCTCAGGTTGCGTAGCGAGAGGTACTTTATAAATATAAACTGGGATTAACTTCAAAATTAGATATTTATTGTATTTTTCACATATTTACTTCTTGAGGCTACTTCTAGATCTGCCAAGATGTTCTTTTTTCTATCCTATTTTTTTAACACATTCTAAATACAAAACTATATTCACTCAGCCAGTAGTTCTATTTATAGAGTAGAGCCTAGACTACATCCCTCTTCCTCACAACTGAAGAGGTGAACATCCCTAGCTGGTGCCCTACCTATGATAGGCAACTTACATAAGTGATCAGCCTTTACTATAGGCCAGCCGCAGTACTGTCACTGCGCCCGTCACCCTGAGACATAAGTTGACAAGTCCCACGTGCCTGTAATTTCACAACACCCTTACCACATGAGTAAAGAAAAGGAACAGATATAAAGCTTCTAAAGAGCGTGCGAAACTTATTCCCATTTTGGAAGGGTTGGCACAGGAGGATAAAAATCAATAAACAAAACTTTATGATATGATAGCATATTTTATTACAAATTACTAATTCTGAATATTTTTTTATAATTTTTCTTTTTCAATAATTTGTTGTGTCCTTTAATTTAATGGTATATTCTAAATTTAATATAAAGTCTTTTTAAATAATCCAATGAAAAGCACTTACATTGCATATCAAATTTACAAATTTGCATACGTTTTAGTATGTCATTACCAATATAGTGTATAATTCTATAATCTAACCTTACCCTTCAAAACCGGAACACAGTAATGCTGACATTACTGCTTGGCGACTGAAATAGTAAAGTGTAAAGTGGCTGTACTGCCCTCAACGAACACCTTCACAAGGAGCTCCACTGCTACAAAAATTTTTTTACTGCTTCTAAGTTTTACAAGCTGAAAATCGGTGCTGTAGATACGCGTATGTTCTACCCAGTGTGAGCAGAGCTTGTACCCCTGCCATACAGTAATAAATCTTAAATGTTGTAAATTGTAACTGTTGTAATTTTTACGTCATTGTTAGTTACGTTTAATGTTTTGGTTTAAAAACGTAGCTTGTAAATATTTTAAGCGTAATATTACCTGAACGCTGATTAGTCGATCGCATATGACTCGAGTGAACTCGTTCCTCCAGCACCGCACCATAGCTCGTTTTTCACTGAAGTAATTGGGATGCGTGAGGCACATACCGGCCGCGATGCGAGACAAGTCTCGCAGGTTGAAAATGTAATGGAATTTCGCAGGTGTCGGGGGCAGCTCTACTATTAGAATCTGAGAACAAGTAAAGCACACAAATTACTTTTAGAACTCAAAAATTCATATAGTGAGGATGTAACCAGAAATAGTATCTAAATAAGGGCCATCCATCCCTGGCAACTCATCAGCAAATGGGTCTATATCACAAATCACAAATTAGAAAACTGAAATTACAGTGCCAACAACTGACCTGTGTGTACGTCTCTGATATTCCAAAAATATTCTGTATTTATTGAAATAAAGATAATATCTTTAACAATGGGGGGCTGTACCAGTCGGTGGTGCAGGAAAAACAGCAAAACGTCTAATTACAAAACAAACGGAATCACACTTCATCGGTAATGAAATATTAAATATATATAATATATGTATTAATAATTACGACAAATTAGTGGAAAAAAATCTTACCTTATAAAGATCAAGGGTCAATTGTATAAGTGGATCGGCTATTTCTTTAATCTCATCGGGGAAAATCTCAAAGTGCCCGTTAATAATGGAGATGTAAATATGCCTTAACGTGCTCTCCGAGGGGAATTGGAGATTGTACGCTGAGAACATCGAAATGAATCGTGGATCCACCTGTAAAAGTAGAATGTAATAGTACATTACTGCAGAGATCGGGAAGTAAGGATTGCTGGACGAGTATGAGTTATTAATAGATTCATGCGTTACTTTGCGGAAGTCCATGTTAATAAAAATGGAAGTAAATTAATGTGCTACTTCGCGAACCCAGTGAAGGTTAAAGTAGCTGCGCATGAAAAAATATTCAACACAAGCGCAGTTATTTTTCACGATTTAACTTTCCTTGGTTTCGCGGAGTAGCAAATTAATTTACTTCCATTTTTATGTCCCGTTCCCGCCGAGGCTTGTATAGTACTTTTCTCAAACAATATGATATAAAGATCAAAGAGAGGAAGACGTATAATAAAAAAAGTAAAAAACATGAAAAGTAATATTTGACATGTTGGGACAATTTGCTAAAAAAATGTTATTTTTCCAGGCACATATTAATAGTCTGCTGAACTTCCGATGATGTGATTCACGTGATTCTCCAGTGCATGAAAATTTCATAAGTTTTCAGGAATCTTACTTTGCTCATAGCCAACAATAAGTTTTCCTTGGCTACTATTACCTTTTGTTTTAAATTAGGCTGAGCACAATAAATTACTATTTTGTGTTATCGCTCTTCTCGTTTACGTAGTTGATTATTAGTAGATAGATTGAAAGTTTAGAGAAGAGGACAGTAATGGATATTCATGCTTACTTTGCAGGCCTTGGCCGGAAAGAAGTCGCACGATCCATAGATGACAAACTGTTCGTGTTAGTTTTTTGAAAGTAATGCAAACATTTCCGAACATGTTTCAGAAAAGTTAAATTTATGATGTTTGTGGAAATTTGAAGGCGACTTAAAGACTATTCGTACTTATAGATAACGCATTTCGGTGGTCATAACATGAAAATTCGCTTCCAAATCACTTCAGCCGGAAATCGAACTCGGAAGCTCCTCATCCAGCGCCCACAATGCAAACCGTTATGTAACCAAGGACGTCAGACCATTATGGACAGTCCCATATCTTTCGACATTAGTTTTGTTTATAATGACCTTCCCTATCAACCGCTTGATATACGGGAAGAGCACTATAGCCTGTGCAAGCAAGCCTGCACAGGGACCTTATCAGTCAGGTCCTGACCCCGGATCAGCCCGTTTTCATAGACTTCATCCGAATCTCAAAGACTAGTGCCTTTGGTGAGCTAACCCGGGTGCACATACAGCGCCCTCCCTATTGTCCAAATAGGTACCGGAGCTGTTGACATGCTCACTTTCCGTTTTGCGTATTGCTCAACTAATGGTTGAGCTACCAACCAAGCCTCCTATGTGGTGACGGAGCTGTAGGCACGTTCAGCTCCCGACGTCGAAGCGACTCTCCAATTCCCAGAAACCTGCGCGACTGGAGAGGTGTAATCGCTTACTACCAGGTGCACGTTCGTGTTCGTTTGTTCGTCTCATCGCTTGACATCATAAACATAAAAAACTTACGTCATTTCTACCACCACCAGCTTTGCCCATAGCGCCAAGGAAACCGATGTCCTTGAGGTTTTTCCAAGTGAGATCTTTCCCTCTGTCATAAAAACCTTTTCTCTGGAACAGTAGCTTTAGCAGTGCAATGGGTTGTTGAGTACCGTATGTGTCTACCTGTAGGCAAATAAACAAATCAGTGTTACCTATGTTACATTGTTGCAATTCTCACTCTTGGTGTAATAAGCGATTGCATCGGTACACTTGCTATTTATAGGCCATTTGCATCGATGCAATCGCCTATAAACTCCCAAGTGTAGCGATGCAATCGTGCATTTGTAGCGAGTCTCAAATAGGAGAATCATAAAATTTCACACAAGTACTGTAAAGATCGTAGCCGTGGGTTTGCGTAGCGAGAGGCACTTTTCAATGAGAAACGAGGAAATTAATCGTAAATAAAATTTTACTGCGTGTATTCAATTTGAAGATTTGACCAGAACAACCGCGACGTTCATTTTACCACAATACTGTTTTATTTTTTTACAATTCTAAATACAAACCTATATTTATTCAGACAGTTCTAATACAATCCATACAGCCTACTCTACAGTACCTTTATACATGGTTATTTTTAAAATACCAAGAACCGCTCAGGACTATATTAATAACATCATAAGCAACGTTTTGCACGTTTGAACTTTGAACCAAATACAGATGTAAAAAGTGTCAGATAAGTTTATTTCTGGTAAATTGTTTACGCTCTGTAAAACGTTATGGAACAATATTTGTAATTTATGATGTTAGTAATATAGTTCTGGGAGGTTGTTAGTATTTTATAAATAACCTTATAAATCGTTTGGAAACTCCCGAAGCGCACGCTCAGTAATAAATTGACGTACTTAATTCAAAGTGATTTACAGATTTTAAAAAGCCAACGTATTTGGCACCGGCCATTATAATTATTGTGCGAAAGATATCAAAATTGTATTTGATGAACAAACTTAATATTATTTCGTTCGTTATTTTCTTATTTACTTTGTCGGTTTTTCTCCAGTGTCAATGACAAAAATTACTAATAATTAATATATTAACGTTCATACAATAGGCATGTTCATGTCGTCGATGAAGACGAGGAGTTTCTTCCCGATGGGTGGGCCGAAGGTGTCCTTAGTTCGTTTCTCCACCATCGACTCCAAGTTTCTTTGCACGTCCATAGAAGATGTTCGCGACGAGAAGTTCATTTGTTGCACTATCTGTAAGTAATTCAATTTCAATTATGTATGTATTTATTATTATTATTTATATATTTACTTTATTGGTGAGTAGTTTGTCAATTTAAAACACTTTCATTGCAAAATATTACTTGATTGCAACTCCCTTTCCAACTGTTACATCCTAAGGTTGCCTGGAAGAAATTGCTACTTATTTGTTGACATTGTAATTTTGTATTATAAAACTAGGGGGCTTGTGGTCGAGAAAGATTGCCTAATGATAAACAATGTATTAAAATTTTCCTAAAGGTATGGCAGTTTAGTGGTGAGTCCGAAGGGGAGGTGGCACGACCTCGAGTCAGCACGCTTCTGGCCACTTCCACCAGAAAGGCGTACTATAGGGGAGAAAATAATATTAAAAATAAACCCTAACTCTTGTATAGCAGTAATGCTCACATTACTGTTTTGAAGCAAATTTACATAGATATGGTGGCTGCTGCTGTGTACAAATTCCCCTTTTGTTAAAATTGTAATTTATGTAGTGTTGCAAGAGACGGTATGATTAGCGAAGAGAAATATTTTAGGAAGCCCTTTCTAAACTGTTTGCCAGACTATAATAAATAAAAAATTCAAAAAATATCTTATGTTTGAACTTAAACAACGAATTGATTATACAAAGATAAATAAACATGCCAATAGATTTGCATAATATTATGGACTTGCACATAGTGACTTAATTTTATTTCTCCTCCTCCATTGGTCCCTTACTGCTGATTTTTTTTTTAAATAAACAATAAATAGTATCACGTAAAGTGAGATGTAAAAAAATTAAATAAAAACTTAAAAAAACGATAGTTATGGAGGCGCCGGGTATCGATCCCGGTACCTCTCGCATGCTAAGCGAGCGCTCTACCATCTGAGCTACGCCCCCAGTTAAACACCACGTCGAAATAACCATACACTTTCTCCTCCCTAATGAAAAGCTTAATGGAGTCTATCAATTTTTTACCTACACTGCCATATTGGCATTGAAAATATAAAACAAACGAAAGAAGCTATTGAATAATCCTAATTTGAATTAATACTATGATAGTCGGCGACATTTATGAATTATAAGTATTCATGATTTATTTCATTTAACTGCCTCCGTGGTTGAACGGTTACCATGCCGGACTACCACGCAGAGGTCCCAGAGTCGATTCCCGGGCCTGGAGAAATATTTGTATGGCCTACATTTATTTCTCTCGTGAGTTTGGGTGTAATTTGTGGTTGTTTATGTGTGTGTCCATGGCACCCGCGACGCAGGGTTTTCCTAGTGCGGGCCTGTGTGGAGTGTGTGCGTTATTATTATTGCTTCGTTTCCTTTTTTGTATAATATTATTAAGTGACAGAACGAACAAACCTTGCGCCTTGATGAACTCTTTCACAAGGAGTTCTACTGTTCTCTACGTTACCAGAATCTGATATTTCGCACTGTTGGAGTTACAAGGCGACATGCTGCTAAATGTCAAATTTTCAGGAGAGAGGATTAGAGATGAGATCTAACGAAAATAACGAAATTAGTCGAACTTTTTATCGATATAAAATTTCACATACACATAATTTGTTTCTTGTGCTTCGTATTGTTTCTACAATTTTCATGTGATTATTAAGCACATTTCAATAACTCCAATAAACACTTATGTGTAATTAAAATTAAGTTGACGGATGGCATATGAATTTTTGGAGCTATTCTGCTTTTGTTTTTTCACAAAATTTGTTTTTTTTTGTTTCTTTATTTTTTTTCACAATATGCAGAAAGCATAATATTACTTAATAAAAATGGCTGTTTACAAAAATAACAGAAAATTATTAAAAAATTAAGTGGGCGCAGTGTTGGAAGTATAAGGGTACTTTTTTAATTAATAGCTCTTGCATGTTTACATCAAAATACTTTTACCCTGTGGACTGTATTTTTATCTATTTGTTAAAGGGGATACACCTCAGTACTGGTCGCATGCTTTGAAGAAAATATACCACCTATTATATAATATTCCAACCCTTAAGGTGGCAAATTAAAAGATGAATCCTGTTTATTGAATTTTTTTTATATGATGAGTCACTGTTCAAGTTTGAAGTAGGTACCTATTTGAAGTTCAGTCTCATGCGTTACCAATTACAAGGACTTGGAAAGAAGGATGGCGAAAGCTGACCCAAAATCAACGAAGAGCCGTCCAAGGACTTTGCTAGTATCGTTTTACGTTTTAGTTTATACGATAAAATACAATTTAAAAATTAAACAAAAGATATTGAATCTATCTTATTGCGAATAATGTCATTCTTTTTATTCATACGTAATATTTCGGTACCTCACACGTAAGTTGTTTTAGTATTTTCTACTTACCGTGGCAGACGCTATACCAACTAAGCCACGGAACGAACCAACGGACCTCACGAATTTTTCTATGTGCTTGCGTCGTGTCTTTGTGCTTGGTCTTTCAACGACTTTTTAGTCGTAGCGCCATCTATGAGAAATCTATGACAGATTTATCACCCAGTTAGTACCTTTACAGAAGGATTTTTTTCTGAGTGTTTTTTCTGAGTGTTCGATCTTTGTATTAATAATTATAACAAACTAGTGGAGTAATTTCACAAAAAAATAAATTGAATATCAATTCAATAAAAATTTAATTACTAAGTACTTTCTTTACTTTTAAACCTATCATATTACATAATAAATTAAAAAAAGGTTTTTTAATAAAGCTCCTTGTGAAAGAGTTCGTCCATGGAAGTAATGCCACCTTAGCTATTTCCGCCGCCAAGCAGTAATGTCAGCTTTACTGCGTTCCGGTTTTGAAGTGTAATGGTGCTGGTGAAACTACAGGCACATGTGACTTGTCAACTTATGTCTCAGGGTGACGGGCGCAGTGGCAGTGCCACTCAGATCTTTGCGTTTTAAAGCTCTGAGTGGCATTGCAACTGTTATGGACAGATGTGTCGCTTACCATCAGGCGCACGACTTGTTCGTCCCTACACTTGGTATCACAAAAAAAAATGCTATTTTGCGTCTTTTAGGAACGCTCTCTCACCGAGAACATTCGCTTACGTGTGTGGTGCCGGTTTAATAATCCATTCATAATAAACGAGAATATATTTATTGGTTTCATTCAAAAATGTTTTGAATTTTCAAATCGTGTATTCTCAATTTTGACTTATGACAATATTTGATTTCATGTACCTACGACATATTGGACAACAGCACATACATTGCTCTGATCTCAAAGTAAAAAAAAACTAAAACACTTGTGTGATGGAAATCGGAAACAACGACGGTACCACAAACACCCAGACTCGAGACAATATAGAAATGTTAGTTTTTCTACATTGACCGGGCTGAGGATCGAACCCGGAACCACAGACATGATGACATCATGAAAACCGGTATGCACGCCACTTGACCATCGATGTGATAGAGTTCGTCCAGTGAAGTACTGCCACCTTACCTATTTCTCCCGCCAAACAGTAATATGATCGTTACTGCGTTTCGGGTTTTTTTTTACAAAATCCAGGTCGCTATTTACATTGTCTCACAATTATTATTAATTTAGTAGCAGTAGAGTTTCTTGTGAAAGAGATCGTCCGGAGAAGTACTGCTACGTTTTAAAGGGTAAGGGCATCGAGAATATAACCGGAAATAGACACGAAATAATGGCCATCCATCCCTGGCAACTTATTAGGTAAATGGGCCTTGTATCACTTTTAAATATCAACTCTCGTTTGCGCTGAAATCACAAATTAAACTGAAATAGTACAGCGCCAATAACTAACCTGTGTGTACGTCTCCGTATATTCCAAATATATTCTGTATTTATTGTAATAAAGATAATATCTCTAACTATGGGGGCTATTCCATTCGGTGGTGTGGCGAAAACAGTAAAACGTACAATTACAAAACAAACCGAGTCACATTTCATCGGTAATTAAATATTAAATATGTAATTTTGCATTTTTCGTCCATTACAGCAAAGCTCAAGTTAAACTGGTCGATTTGAAGTGAAACAATTGACGACACCCGTCAATTGTTTCGAATTCGGGCTGGCCAATCGAAGCACAGTTGTCACTGTAACGATTTGGGAGAATAGCTTTCAACCAAATTAAATGACATCTCGTCTCTATTTCTGGTTACATACTCGATGGGTAAGGTTGCTCGTGAAATTACAAGCACTTGAGGCTTGTCAACTTGTGTCTCTGGGTAACAGGCGCAGTGGCAGTGTCACACAAATGTTTATGATTTAAAGCTCTGAAAGCACTGCAACTAAAAAAAATTAAGTGAAAGCGTGTCGCTTACCACCAGGCGCACGACTTGTCATTCCCGTCACTTAGTATAAATAAAACTAATTTCATCGTCATAAAAACCAATGACAACCTCAGCAGCGGTGTTCCTAAAGCGATCCGAAAAAAAAAAGATCCGGTATAATTTAAATAGGTAAGTACGCTGCACACTACCCAATCACTATGTCATGAATATACACCTTCTGTAATTCTTCCGCTCTTCTAATGATTATTTTAAAAGTAAAATACGAAACTTACATATTTATCTGGTGACAATTCACGCAAGAAATTGGAGATAATAGCTGTTTTAGATGTACCCGTTTCACCTACAAGTAATACGGGCCTCTCAACCTGTAAATACGAATTAAAACTTTGTAAGTGTTTTATAATATAATATAATAATAATAATAATATATTTATTTCAGACAACTATTTAGTCCATATGTGTTAGTAACAATTTTATTCTTAAAAATTATGTTAGTAGGCACTAAGTCTAAACATTATTAAATTAAAATTGAAATAAACATGAACGTTTAAAAGCAATTAATAAATTTTTATGTTTTATTTTATTTTTTATGCAAAAAAAGTTGATAATAATAGTTAGCCTATTATATAGTCCCACTGCTGCACACAGCCTCCTCCCACAATGAGAGGGTTGGTGCTTTAGTTCACGGGAAAAGCTCATAATGATTTTAAATTAAATTTCCCACATAAATAAATAAATCAATAATAGACAATGTCATACACGCTGCCCCGGTCCCAAATTAAGTAACTAAAGTACTTGTGTTATGACAATCGAAAACAACGACGATGACCTTTCACCAAAGCAGAAAATAAAAAAACAACGAGAATGGTCACTCTCTGCCCCTCCCTAGCTTTAGACACCGCACCGCGGCCCGTATATTGACGGTACATTGACGGAACGGCAACTAGGCTGTCAGTTATCTACTACGTTTTTTAAATGGCACTATTAGAATTACTTTAAAATCCAATTTCGACTTCCTAGGTCAGTAGTTTGTCCTACGATGCAGTAAAGCCATTTCCGGAATTTTTTATGTCGCTCCTAGTAGCTGTGTCTATACATGTATCTATATAATTATGTGGAACACCTTTTTCCGACCATAAGTACATTACATGTCTTTCTCGAACTTACGCTTTCCATAATTTTGATAAGCCATGTCATCCGTAAGGTGTCGACTGTCGGTACCAGGATCGCAGAAAACTTCTTGTCTCTATCGTGAACATATTCCGGCACCAGCCACTCCCACGCCTCCCAACACTTCGTCGACAGCTCCAAGCAATAATCATATAGAGTAGGAAAACCTACCGGGAACAGCTCTGTGGATACAAAGCAGTTGTCAGATTATTGTACTTACAGACTTTTCACATAACAATTTTCTATTTCAATATAACACGGAACAATTAAGACATCGAACTTAAAAATTTATTCCAGGTGCATTATGTTACATTTAAGAATGGAATTTAATCACGTTCATATGACTTTGCTTGGCAATTTCGCGTTTGATATTGTTCCTGGGCTCATTTCATCAATGTTTTGATTTACTTTTGTTTTTCTTTTGTATTGTTTATTTTTTTTATTTTGTGGTGTTCTTTGTGGTAAGTAAATAATAAAAGTATTTTCTTTCTTTCGTTCTCGGCATCGAGTGTATAACCAGTAATAGAGACGAAATGTCTTTTAATTTGTTTGAAAATTATTCTGCCAAATTCATTACGGTGACAACTGCGCTCCGATTGGCCAGCCCGAATTCGACACAATTGACGGGTGTTGCCAATTGTTTCACTTTAAATAGACCAGTTTAACTTGAGCATTGCTATAATCGGCGAAAATTTAAAAAATTGAAATTTAATTACGTATTAAATGTGATTCTGTTTGTATTGTAATTAGATATTTTGATGTTTGTCTCACATCACCGAATGATACAGCCCCCTACTGTTAGAGATATTATGTTTATTATAATAAATACAGAAAATTTTTGAATATAAGGAGACGTACACATAGGTCACTTGTTGGCGCTGTACTATTTCAGCTTTCAAAGTTGTAATTTCAGCGCAAACGCGAGCTGATATTTAAAAGTGATTAAAACGCCCATTTGCCTGATGTGTTGCCAAGGATGGATGGGTCTTATTTCGAGTCTATTTCTGGTAATATAGTCGATGGTTCACGGTGTCTATCGGTTATGCGAAGGAGGTCCGTACTGAGCAGTACGACGTATGTTGTTGCTAAATTTCAGTGTATTTTATCATTATCAACGACAGTGACGTTGGTGCTGGCATGGTCGCGTCATTGTTAAACTTACTAGTAGTGGCTTTCTTTTCCGGTGTATCATCGACCAGCATCATGGGGCAGGCCTTCTTGACGTACACGTCGAAATCCATACGACCATCGTCGATAATTGAAGCACCGAGGCTGTTGTACATTGACTGTGAAATATAGACAAGTTTATAATAGACAACAAGTCGTGCACCTGATGATAAGCTACACGCCTGTCCATAACAGTTGCAGTGCCACTCAGAGCTTTAAATCGCAAAGATCTGTGGAGCACTGCCACAGCGCCCGTCACCCTGAGACATAAGTTGACAAGTCCCAAGTGCCTGTAATTTCACCAGCACTCTTACCCTTTAAAACCGGAACACAGTAATGGTAATGTACTGTACTGCTTGGCGGCACAAATAGGTAAGGTGGCAGTACTTGACGAACCCCTCCTTGACGAACTCTTTCACAAGGAGTTCTGCTGTTACTAAAACGTCTGTATGCGTTCAGAGTGCTTAGAACATCCGCACATTTGACAAAACTCGAAATGCTAGAAAACATTCATTTGATCCGGCTGGATTCGAACCAGTAACCTCAGGCAATCTGTGTCAGTTGCTCTGCCAATTCAGTCTCGTTAAAAACTAAAAGCAAAGATTTGCAACAAACACATAGAAAGATTCGTAAGACCTGCTGGTTCATTGCATAGCTTAATTAGCAGTGCATCTGCCACGGATTGCCTGAGGTTACTGGTTCGAATCCCGCCGAATCGAATGAATTTTTCTTAGCGTTTCGATCTTTTTTACGTAATTATAAAAAAAAATCATGGTAGTAAAAACATCGTGACATTTAATAACTTAAAAATTAAAACTCTAATTGAAAGTGAGACGAATTTAAAGGACAACAAAAAACAGTAATGTAAATTGTATAAGGAATAAATAATAGAGATAATTTATTAGAAAAATGATTACGTTTGGATGTTTTAAGGCGTGCACACCTTTTTTTTTTGCTCTCCAGTTTTGACGATCGTTATAGGATGTGTTGTGTTTTGATGACCAAGTAGATTTGTCAGCGAACAGATTTGCTCAATTTCATGTATAGTTAACAGTAAGTAACAGTAGCAATCGATAAATACAGGGTTATAATCATACATTTGTAGGCACATACACCTAACTTAATTTCCACAGTATCGCTCGAATAGCTGTAAGTTTTGTTTGAGCACTAATGCTTATACAATCTCCTGTGTTGTACCTATGCTCTAAGGTGGAAATGGTCTGATTAACTAGGATAAATGTAATATTAAACTCTGCAACGGAAACACCAACGATTTAAGATAAAAAAAATTACTTTTCTGCAAATAATCAACCAAGTAATTTACACTATTGAGTGAAGAAGTAGATAAACTGGTTTTCCATTAGCCAAGCGATGTTGTGGATGGTAAAATAAAATATTGAAATACCAATTAGACTAACTAAGGTTATTGAATGTCAGAATGTTTCACATTCAGTTGTTTGTTGTGAAATTCCTTCACTAAAGTACCGGCACGCTATGATGGCCGTTTTGACGTTTGGCCGCTCATCAAGATTTGTAGTCATTCATAACTGCGTTCAAGGAGCTAATTGCTGTACATTGTTGTTAATAGTGACGTGCAGTAAAATTTATGGATGTATAATTTGTAACGTTCCACGTACATAAATGTTAATATTATTGTAATTCACAAATTTGTTGGAAAAATTAAACATAAGGTTCCAGGTTACCACACTGGAATAGTAAATAATGCTTCATGATGTATATATAAATATTTACATAAAAAGAAATTGTCTCCAAAATTGAGTACAAGAAACTTACCTGAAAATCACTGTTAACATAGTTGGCCACATTGTCACTTAAGATCTAGAGCCTAAAAAGGCCGCATTGACAGAATCATAATTATGATTAGGTAATTGACAATTCATATTATGAAATTTCAAACAAAACAAAAAATACAATTCATCTATTTCACAGTGTTCTATGTAGACCTCCACAATTAGACCAATTATCGACGATGGTCATATGGAATTCGACGGGTACGTCACGAATTACCCAATGATTCTGGTCGATGATACACCGGTAAAGAAAGCCACTACTAGTAAGTTTAACAATGACGCGACAGTGCCAGCACCAATGTCACTGTCTTGATTTGGATAATGGTAAAATACACTGAAATCTAGCAACTGTCAAATAGATGAATGTATTTTTGTTTTGTTTGAAAATTCACAATATGAATTGTCAATTATTCATATTATAATTCTGCCAATACGGTCTTTTTAGCCTTGCAAGTGATATTTCGATCACGCGTTCGTTTTTTTTTGATACTCTAATGAACTTACCACCATGAAAACGCATTCAACAACCGTTTTATCAATTTGCTCGTTAATATCTTCCTGGTTTGGCATTAGTCCACTAATCATGTAACATAGTTGCATCACCTGTAACATTAGTTTTTTTTTTATCAAGATTATATGTATTAAGATTACATTATGTCAAATAATTCCATCATGCTTGTAATTTAGCAAGCATTACAGCAGTAGTTGGATAATCGGTTACTTATTTACCTTCAATTCCGTGAGGTGGAATCTAACATGAGAAACGCTTTTGTATACATATATGCTTATATATATATATATATTATGCTATATATATGCTTTTGTATACATCATCAACCCATTTATATGCCCCACCGCAGGGCACGGGTCTCCTCTCACGCGAGCGTTTGGGGCCATAGTCCGCCACACTGGCCCATTGCGGGTTAGGGACTTCAGACGTTTTCCGAGGGCTGTGAACCTTCTTCGACGCGCAAGTTTTGTCACGATGTTTTCCTTCATCGGAAAGTTCATGGTAAACTTCAAATTAAATTTCTCACGTAAACTCCGAGCAGAGGCCCGGATTCGAACCCACGACTCTCTGCTTAAAAGGTGGTAAGTCAAACTATTAGCACCCAGTTACAAGAGGCGAAAGATTCCGCGCGGTCGCCGCGTGGCGACCGCCCAATTACTACACCTTCATGTACATTAATGACGAATCTGAATTCTATTTACTAGGCGACATCATTTAAATTTCTCTGAATAATACAACCGCGCGGTCGCCGCGTAGACCAAATTGAAGCCAGACTCGCCCAAGTGCCCGGCACGCTCATTTAAGTTAAAACGTAAAAGCTAAAGGAATAGAGCGTATTTTGACATTACAGTGAGACGCACGCGGGCCCTGAGCAGCAGCAACGCGGACTCTGCTCATCAACCGCGCGGCAGCAGCGTGGGGTGAGTTTAGGGCGTATCGGATAAATGCGCCCTAACACGGCTTTCAAAGCATGCCTATATATATATAACCACACTTTTGTATACCTAGTAAAGCTTCCGCAACATTGGGATAGACGAAATTGTAGGAAAATGAATATTTAATATGTTATTTGAAATTTTATGTAACATTGAAATTTGCTGTAAAAACTTTGGACATCAAGAAAAAAAATTTGGAGTTTTGTAATTAACGCAACGTAATTTAAGATTAATTTTTGACATTATTAGCCGTTCACAGTACTGAAATCCGGTTATCATATTCATAGTCATCGTCAGACCTTTAATATTAAGAGTGATCCAAAATTTATAAAACTTGTGACATGTCACGCCATTCCGACATGGCAGTTTTTTAAGAAGGCGTTTCCATATTCACAGGAAAAATGAACTTGAGAGCCTATGCACACGGCGTATTCATAAGCGCCGACGACACGCAGGTGACACTCGTAAACGCTGTTCAGACGCGATACAGACGCGCGTGAGAAGTGCGTTCGAAGCTCGTCTGTATCGCGTTTACGCATTTGAGTCGATTCAAGCAAAAAGCTTATAAGCTTATAACACTTAGAATTTCATGTAGTTACTTCATTCCAAAAAGTAACAGAAATTCCTTTGTTATTAATACAAAGATCAAACATTTACAAAAAAAAAATCCTTAGATCCGGCCGGATTCGAACCGACTTCTTCTAGCATACCGTACCTTTTGTCGGATCTTTGTATTTGGTTTTCAACGACTTTTTAGCTGTAGCACTATCTATGAGAAATCTATGAAAGTATTTCGTCACCCGTCGTTCCGTGGCTTGGTTGGCATAGCGCCCGACACGGTTTACTAGAAAATGTCGGTTCGAATCCGACCGGATCGAATGAATTTTTTCTAGTGAAGTAATTTCACAAAAAAACAATGAATATCCTTTCAATAATAATTCATAACTGAAATTAAGAAACAAAACTAAAATTTATGCGCGTGTTCATGAAACGCGAGTCCTGTCGGCGTATAAACTACGCCGTGTATATAGGCTCTTAGATATAAAAGCGTCCGAATATACGACCACTGGTCTTAACATAGATGTAACCTTATTACGATAAGCTTACCAAGTTCAACGGCGTCTGTGGCACAATAGTTTTCAGTGGAGTCTGTTGCTGCAGCCCAAAGAGCCCGAAGACGATGTAATTAATAGCACCGGGCACGTAATGCTCAAACAATTCACTCATTTGTTCTCGCTCCTCTATGTTGTTACGACTCAAAAGCCATCTGGATAATAATAAGATTTAGGTGCAATTCGCAAAATACAATGACACACTTCTAAAAATCTTCTTCGTTGTTATCTATAAACTTACTTAAACGAAGGTTGTTACCATTAAGAGGATTGTGAAGTCGCCATTCGCAATAGAAAAACGTTTTTAGGGTCATTTACTACATTCTTACACTAGCGTCACAGTACATTTATGAAAATGTAGTTTATGTTAAGAGGAATATAAATTTCTTTATGAAAAATAGTGACAGACGTAACATTAATACGAGGAATAAAAATAAACTATTATACAGCTGTTCCTGATAGTCGTCTTCACAAATTCATTTAAGAGGCAATGTATACGCTTCTATAACAAGATTCCGGTTGATATACAAAATTTGCCTTTCACGAGGTTTAAAACTATAGTGAAACAAAAACTTTATACTAAAGGTTATTATACAAGTTCTGCGTACTTGGATGACAAAAATCCCTGGTAGTAAGTAACCTGTTTATCTCGTGGAGGTAGTGTCAATCTCTGACGATTGAGAACCAAAATATTATAAATGTTTAATGCGTAAAAATGTTATTTACAAAGAGCAACCCCTGAATTTCTTGGTAATTCTTCTCAGGGGAATCTGCCTTAAGAATGAGCGGTAGCGTCTAACCAATGTGACGATTTCAAATGTAATAATGCTTACATATGAAATAAGATTATTTTGATTTTAACTAACAATCTCGTACGACTATATTTTATTTTATTAGAACTATATTTACCGCTGAGGTACCAGCGAGGTACAGGAGGAGCACACGGGATTGCAACAAAGTAAAGTAATATCGGCAGCCTCTCCTCTACCGCAGCCTTAATATGTTTGTCATTGTTTATAAAGGTGGGTATCCATTACGTTCGCGCACCAATTGTGCTCCGCGCATCTGCAACTGCTCCATTAGTGGATACGTTCCCATGCAACGTTACACGCTCCGCGGTTAGCGCTTCGCGGCGGTTTTTGCGCAAACACAAAGCAACGCGAACGCAAGAGGTTTTCGGGCTTCGCGCTCCGCTAAGATTTTTTAAATTACCGCGAATTTATCGCTATGACATAGTCCGATGAGAATATTTAGCTCGTGAACAATATAATCAATTAAAATATAAGCCGCTCTCCAGCTACTAATTCTGGGGCGACACGTTCGCTCTATGTTCAAATGAAAAATGTGGAGCGGAACAGAGTCGATGCGCAAATCTAATGGAGCACTCGGTTTTCTTGTAGTGATGCGCGTAATGTCTCTATTAGAGATCGCGAACGTAATGGATACCCACCTTTACATGCCCGGAATGGAGAGCTATATGACGGTGAAAGTTAAGCTAATTATAAATGATAAGAGCTACATGATTCAAGTAGCAGTAGCTCCTTGTTCAGTGACGTACTGTCATCTTATTTATTTCTGCCGCCAAGCAGTAATGTGAACATTACTGCGTTCCGGTTTGGAAGGGTAAGGGGGAAATTACAGGTACATGGGACCTGTCAACATAAGTCTCAATGTGACATACGCAGTGGCAGTGCCCCTCAGATCTTTGCAATCTAAAGCTCTGAGTGGCACTGTAACTGTTATGGAAAGGCCTGTCGTTTACCACCAGGCGCACACTTGTTCGTCCCGTTAATTGATATTATAAAAAAAATCCCAAGGATCGCCAAGATACTTAGTAACCACAATTGGCACGTTCAAATGTGAAATACGTGACCAAATATGGTACTTAGTATTTAGTAAAGCATGATATTCAAGTTAAATTTAAAAAGTATGATAAACAAATTAATTATACAAACGACAATAACATGATTCGTAATCATTAAAAGGAGTAATAGATTACTTATTAATATTCAGTATACATTTTAAATAATAAATTTTACAAATATACTATTTAGTGTTGCCCAAAATCAGTTTTGGTTTTGGTTTGGTTCCAAGACCAAAACGATCTAATTGTAGCAAGACCGCCGACCACCGACCCTGCAAGACTTGGGCAAGAATAAAACTGAGTCTCCAAGACTCTTGCGGCCTCGCATTTACTTTGAATTGAGTATTTTTACGCATTTTATTCCTAAAATTGTAAACCTACAAAGATTATCATAAAATTACTAATTGAAACATTAACCTTATTTATTAACCCATACAATAACAATTTCCAGATAGTCAACGTTAATGATCTTTTATTATTGCACCTTTATTTTGCGAAGTTCAGAGAAATTCAAAAGATTTGTAATTAAGTACCTAAATGTAACGTTTACTTTATTATTTATTTTAGTTACTTAAGCAAATATGTATATTGTAATTCGTAATAAGAGATAAATAATAAGAGATGGATTCGGCTTTTATAAAGATGTTTTATCGACTTCAAAAAAGGAGGAAATTCTCAATTCGACTGTATGTTTTTTTTGTTTGTATGTTACGCGATAACTCCGGTATTTGTAAACTAATTTTCATGATTCTTTTTTTGTTGGAAAGAGGGTACCTCCATAATGGTCTCATTTAATTTTCAAGAAAATTATCCATATGTAAGGGTGGCTGTTCACGCATGAAGATCCATATATATTATATTATAAATAGCGCCTAAATTTTAGTATAAGAGCAATTATTTTAATGATTGATTTTGCTATTCTTCAATTCAAGGCGTTTTTCTCTCTCAATATACTTTGGGTAGTAAGAACCGATTGTTATTATCTCCTGTGTCAAATCCCGTATAGTGGCGAACTAGGGGATGAATCCGGATTTTGCGCACTTTCCGGTAACCGATTTCAATAAAACTTGGTAATTATATGTAATTCCACGTACTTTGGAGGTCGGTTTTTTTAGTACTCTGTGCTGAGATTATTTATTTTAACAATTTCTACAATTTATAATGACATTAGTTAAAATATATAACTTTATTTTCTAACGTATAAGACGGCACACATGTACATATGTATGTATGCACAACACTAGTTAATTTGCCAAAAAAGACACCGCTTTTTTATAAGACGGTGCGGCATCTTTGACATCGCTCTTTGAGTGACCGAGATCTTGTAAAAAGCTGCTGGTGTTTCAAAGAATAAAATTAGTTCAGAGGCGCTCGGAACTTAACCAAACACCTGGTTTGTCTTCGCACGGATTTGCGGTTGTGAGGTTAGGTATATTATTATTATTATTAATAAGTATATTATAATAGGTACTCTTATATTGGACTATATAAACGTTACCTATACAGGATGTAACAAATAGACAAAATAATACTTCAGGCAGTGATAGTGCCCATAGAGGTTAACAAAACTAAGTAACATTCATCAAATTAACTTATTTTGTAGAATATGACAAATTTTTACACGTGCTCTCCACACATCTTTTTATCCAATGCCATATAAATTTTATTCAATTCTCCATACCGCGCTAACATACAGAAAACAATTTATTCCAAAATGTAAAATTTTCTCAGCGGATATTCAACTTAAAGTCAAACCCATACAGTTCATTATCAATTGAATAAATTTTTCATTGTTAGGTAGATTGATCTGCCATCGACTGAACATAATTTAAATTTAATTCTGTTCAAATACATAAATATTTTTTTACGCTCTCTTCATTCAACTTTTTACATGTTTGAAGTTTGTTTCTTGTTTGTTACTTGAGAATTGTTCCGATACCGGTCATCGTCAAATTAGAACAATAAAATTTGCAACCATAGTAACTAAAAATGTTGTAAACTTTTGAATAGAATGCTCATTTCACAAAAAAAAATCCGATTTTTGAAAATACATACCTACATTTCATTCAGTTGTTACAAACTGGGCAAAACCCAGCTTTTGGCTTCTCGTAGAGTTTTGAGACACCACTATACGCAATATTTAACACTGATTAAGCTAGTACATTTTTAAACTATTTTTGCACTAATTTAACAATCTTAACGTATTATCCGTAACTTTGTTCACAAGAGAAAACAGACAATTTCTTTTACCATTCCCTCCAAATGCAAAAAAAACTATATAATAGGCAAAGTATCTTGCTGAGTTCTAAGCGTTGCCTGATAAGTCAAAGTCAAAGTCAAACTCGAAGTCAAAGTCAAAGTCAAAGTCAAAGATTATTTATTCCATAGGTAAAATAAATTTACACTTGAAAACGTCACATTTAAGCTACTGCTCGTTCACTACGCTGACCTCACTGAGAAGAACGAGCAAGAAACTCTAGGGATTGCTCTTTTCAAATAAACTTAGATAAATGCTATGGAATACACTTTGAATCAAATTTGTGTGGATTCTGGAGCCATGTCATCTTTCCATACATCTTTATCTAACACGTAGTCTTCAATTTTGTAATATGATTTGTCGATCAAAATATTTTTAATGTAGTTTTTAAACTGAAAATGATAAACTTAATATATGCTCCGGGATCTTATTGTAAAAACGTATACAGTTCCCCATAAAAGAGTTGTTTACCTTGGTTAAACGAAATCGTGGTACCATGAGTTTGGACTTAGCTCTAAGGTTAATATTATGGATATCTTCTTTCTTATTGAAATTATGTATATTTTTACGGGCATATAAAATATTTGAGTAAATGTACTGTGATGCCACAGTCATGATACCAGTCTCCTTAAACTTTTCTCTGAGAGATACCCGAGATCCTAGATGGTACACAGAACGAATCGCTCGTTTTTGCAATACAAATATGGTTTGAATATCTGCCGCTTTACCCCACATGAGAATCCCGTAGGACATTATACTATGGAAGTAACTAAAGTAAACTAGTCTAGCAGTACTAACATCGGTAAGCTCACGTATTCTGCGGACTGCGTATGCAGCGGAGCGTAATCTGCTGGCCAGGAACGATATATGTGGAAACCATTGAAGTTTACTATCTAAGGTATCCAAGAAGACTGCTTTATTAACAAAGTCTAACTTTTCTCCGTTTATTTCTATGCTTGGACTAGTCGATTTTACGTTAGGTAATTCAAATTCAACACATTTTGTCTTCTTGGCATTAAGCAATAAATTGTTAG